AAGTGCGCGGAGCCGCCGCGCGCGCCACCGCCGGCGAGCGCGGGGACTCGCAGGACAACGGGGACGGGGATGGGGGCGACGGCAGGTGCGTGCGCTCGTTCGGTCTGGCGGTGGGCGCAGGGACGCTGATGGGGCGGGGATGGGCGACACAGGGCGAGAACGCGCACGGGGAGGGAGCGGGAGCGGGGCGGGGGCGAGGGGCAGACGTGCCTGGGGTGCAGCGCGACGTCGACGCCCGAATGGCGGCGTGGGCCGATGGGTGCGTCGACCTTCCTTCTCACCTCCGCGAGGCGGGCTGACGGTGGGGGACGCATCGGCAGGGCCGCGGACGCTGTGCAACGCATGCGGGCTGGTGTATGCCAAACTGGTGCGTCCGGCTGCGAGCCGCTCCGATGCGCCCCCTCCCGCTCACCCCACCGTCGCTCTCTGTCAGATCAAGAAGCGGAACCGAGACGGACCCGGGCGAGGGCGCAATGGCCAGAAGCAGTCGGCCCACGCCCCCCAGTCTGCCCACACCGTCCACCCCAGCGACGCCGACGGGGCGTCGAGCGGCGACGGCGGCAGCGACGACGACGACTCGTACGGCTCCCAGCACGACCGCCGCAGCGACCCCGGCCAGGGCTACCGCCGCGACTAGCACTCCTTGCGCTCCGCGAGCGAGCCCGTCCACTCCCTTCGTGCACTGTATATCTTTTGCGGACCCACCGGTGAGCTCTTCGCTGGTCTCCTCCTCGGTCTCTCTTTTTCTCCCGCACGCTCACGCCACCTCCACGCTCATTCTCCCCCCGGCCCAGTCGCTCGCTGCCTTCGTCGCTGTAAAGCATTGTACTGCTCCGCTCCCCCCGCATTCCCGTGTGCTCCATCTGACCCCCTCTGCCGCCTCCCTTTGTGAGATAAGCTACGCCGCTCGTATTCGTTCTGTAATATCCCCCCTTTGCGTCGCCCCGTGTCACGTCCGCGTTCTGTCGCACTTGTCCACACTCCGCCCTCCCACCCTCGCTCCTCGTCTCGCGTCCACCACCGCCTGTGACCTGTGCGACCCCTTACTTACGATCCCGGCCCTCCTTCCACGCATCCACGCGGGCCTCGCAGCACTCCTGGTCGCTCGCTACATGCGCCTCGTTTGCGCGGATACCCCCGCGCGCCCGCTCGATAACCCATCTGCGATCACCCACCCGCCGCGTCTCGTCCTGGTCCGAGCTCGCGATCTGATCTCGTCCGATGACCCGCGCTCTGAAGGCAGGCCTGGGCCGGTCGACGTTCGGTGCCGACGACGTGGAAGTCCGACGGCCAGCGCACTTTCCACCGTTGCAAGGCCCCGGCGTCGCGACTCGGGCCCCTGGCCGACGATCAACGGTGCTCTAACGGCTCGGTGTCCTCGGAGCCGGCTCTCTCGACTGGCCCCAGGCCGGCGCCGGCCAACGCGCTGGAGCCCCGCGCCGACGGTTGCCTGTCGACGCTCCCGCGAGCGGAAGGGCCGCCGCGCTGCAAAAATTTCCCCGGCAGCCAATCCCGCCGCGCGCTCCTCGGCGTTGCGCTCCGTGGCTTTCTCGGGATTCTGAATCCCTCCTCCTCCTCCCGTTGCTGGCTGCAGAAGTCCACGGACGGCGACGACGGGAGTGCAAAAATTTCGCGCGCGCGCTACGTACGTACGTGTGGTGCCGTGCCTTTGAAAGCCTGGACAGAAGGGCGGCCGCGTGAATCGAATCGCCCGGGCCGGGGCGACGCCGGGCGGGTTCCCGCGCGGGCTGCGCGCAATGACGAGCGTCGTCGTTGTCGTTGTCGGCGGCGGCGGTCGTACCGTCGCGGTGAGCAAGGGCGGAACGGAGCGGACTGGTGGGAATTCCGTCTTGTCTTGAGACGACGGTCTCAGTCTTGAGCTTGAGAGAGAGAGAGAGCTTGTTTGCGAGGCGAGCGGCGGTTGCCGTTGGGCCGGACGCGTTCCTGGGGAGCCTGGGACCCGGCCGGCGACGGCGACGGCGACGGAGGAAAGAGTCCCGCGGCGGGCTCGGACGAGAGGATTCGGATGCATAGCACTCGACGGCGGACGCGGCTCGTGAGTCGTGTCTCAAACCGTTGGCGGGGGCGGGGAACAAGCCGCGGACGCGGGGTGCCCGTGCGGACGGAGGGAGACGGAGGGGCGTTGCGACAGTACTTGCTGGTATCCAGTGAGCTGCCTCCTCTGTCGTCGAACGCCACGAGCTTTTTCGCAAGTGGTTAGCGGCGTACCCACGCACGGCAGGGCGCCGCACTCCTTGCCATTTGCCGCACGCCGAACCTGCAGGGCGCACCCGCGCGCTTCCTGCTGGCGTCCGCGGCCGCAGACCGCAGCGCGCGCGGGGATCCGCGAACGCATTTCGACGCGGCGCGCGTTTTTATGCATTACCTACGCATGGCGTCCTACGTTGGCGCGACTGCCGCCGTACACGCAGAATTCGGCCGCGCCATGGCGACCAGCGCAGCGAGCGGACGGACGAACAACGACCTCCAGCTCTGACTGTGCGCCGACCGTCCCGGAGCGCTTCCAGTGATCGCCACCTGGCGCGATCGCCGCGGGAGGCGGCGGCGGCGGCCACGGAGGATCCGGGTGCACCGACGCGGGGTACGTACGGGTACGTACGCGCGCGCGACGGGGTTGGTCGGGAAGACGAGGAAGCGTCGGAGGGGCGGACTGCGCCCGGCGGGTGGGAAGCGGACGGGCGGCGAGAAGGCGCAGGGTGGGGCTTCGAGCGGGTGAACGCTGAGAGCTTCGCGTGCGCCCGTTGGTCCCGTGGAGGTCGGGTGCGGACCCGCCGCGCGCGGCGAACAGGAGGCCTGGCTTGTACATCATATATGGGTCGGCATTGTTCCGTGAACTCGCTGGCCCGTGCGCACGGTCCGCCGGGGTCGATTGAAGGACGGGTGCGCCGTCGTGCAGGAGGCGATGGACCGGAAGAAGTGCGCGGGCCCTGTAGCCTGAGAGAAGGGACGGTGCGGCTGCGATCATGGTTATCGTCCGTGGTCCGTGCGGCGCGGCCAGCGTCGACGAAGCGCGTTGTCGCGTCGGCGCGGCGCATTCAGTCTGAGTCGGGCGCAGTGTACGGGACCGTGCCTGGAGAGCGTTGCGCGCGATGTCATCTCCATCTCCAACGCTCATCTCGCGACTCGCGCCCCTTGTTCCTCGCGGTGGCCAGGTCCCTCGGAATTTAGCCTTTCGTTCCGCGCCTCAAGCCCCCTCTTGAAGCCTCAGGCCTCAGGCCCCATCGTTCCGGAGCCCGCGCATCATCTCGACATTGCGGTGCCTGACGGCCGAGGTGCCCCTGGCCTGGGGCCCGCAATAATCAGATTCAGATCCACCCAGCTCACGCTCGCAGCCGACTACAAATCGCCCTCCGCTCGTGACCAGAGCGCGCTGCAGCGGCTCGACGGGAACGTTCCGCCCGACGTTGACAAGACGCGCCCTGGTGGGGAGAGGTTCTGACGGCAGCACTGGTTCTGGCGAGCTTGGGGCGACGGGAGGCTGGCCAGTTCTGATGGCGGACGGGCGAGGCGACGGGCGAGCGCGCGCGGCCTGTCAGGTGGGCCGCGAGAAGGTGCGGGAAAGCGAGTCGCTCGCGTGAGGGTGACGCAAGGTGGGGGAGCGGCCGTACGTACTCGCTCGTAAACGATGCAGGTCACGGCTGTGAGGAATGAATGGCGGGCGTTGCCCGACCGGAAGAGCGACGTTTGGCGAGCACGATGCGCCAACTCCCGGGCAGAGAGAGGCGGAAGGCGAGGGCGAGTAAGCAAGGGGCCGTCGATTGTGCTGCCAGTGTGCACTCGCCGTCCGCCGTCGCGCCGTCGGCCGGGCTGGGTCCAGAGCCGCACCGTGCAGGGGCGACGAGTTGAACAAGCTCGAGATGAAGCTTCTTCAGCGTGGGTGGGTGAGTGGGGCGGAACGGCCCCAGCTGGCCCCCTAGGCCTGGAGTCGATCTGCCATGTCTCCCAGGCGAGCGCCGCATCTGCCACGCGGACGAGCCCCAGGCCCACGGCGAGTGCCATGCGTTGGCCCCGGGAGTGAGTGGACACACAACGCGGACGGAGCCGGAGGGCGCCGGGAAGGCGCTCTCCGTCGCGTTTCGGCCGTCGCGCCTGCTGCGTTCTGCGCAACTTGCAGGCGAGCCGTGTCGAAGGCCGCCTTCGCGGGTGCGGCGAAGGCTCGCCAAGGCCCGGCGGCACCGAACAATGTCCGCCAGTAGGTTCGCGTTGCGCTCGATCGAGCCCAAAGGTGTGTGACCTTCCAATGTCTATGGCATGCGTGGCCTCCGTCTCTCCTCCATTCCCCTCTCGGCTGAGGTAAGTACGTGGACTTGAAATCGTGCAATGTCTTGCGTGAGGTGAACGAAGGAAAGGTGCGGTAGGAGCCAGCGAGAGGAGCACAGATACTTGTGCACAGCTCGCAGATTTTGTACGTGGTCGCGGAGCTGTCACATATGTACATCGGCAAATAAGAGGCGCCCTGCACGCGCATGCGCAGACAGGGCCGCGCGCAGACAATCAATTGTCTGAACATTACTGGACCGACTTCCGTAGGGCTCAAGCCGGGTTTGATGTGCTCGGGTCTGCTCGGGTAGGCTCGGCACACAAGCAAATTCAAACCCAGCTTCTTGTGCGTGCGCGCCCACCTGAGACATCGCACAAGTCGTGAGCCGACGCGAGCCGACGCGAGCCGACGCGTAGAGACGAGTCGTCAGGGCACGCGGTGGAGCCCATCGGAGCGCCCGTCGCGCCCGTCCGCCGCGCGACGCGCGCCGTGCAGCTCGCTCGTCATCGCGCATGCCCGCACGACGCGACGAGCACTGCGATGAGCATGCGCTCGTCCACGCCGACTACGTCGCGCGCGGTGCTGCCATAATATTTGCTCCACTGGAGGAGGACAAGGGAGGTGGCCGCCTGCTACGACGCCAACCGCGCCGACAGGCACGTCGACAGTGTGGACGCGCTTGACCGCCCAGTGCAAGCTCGGGCGCATGGGCTCAGTTTTAGACTTCGTGATCGAGTCTGCTCGGGCTCGCGAGTCGCAATCGGGGCGCGTTGTCTCCAAGAAACTTGAAGCGCGCGGTGGTGGGGCGGACGAGCACGGCTGCCGGCGAGGTGCAGCGTTTGAGGACGACGACGAGTGGCGCCGTGTCTTGAATCCGCACAGGGCTGAAGCCCGGGGAAGACGCTGCGAACACGAGATCGCATCCGACATGCTCTTGTTGACGACGAGCTCGACGCTGTCCATCGCTCCCGCGAGCATCTCCAGTGGCCGCGGCAGCGCACGCAGCGCGGCCTCGTTCATGAGCTCCTGCGCCCATCCCTGCTGCGTCGCAGAGGCCCATCCCGCCGCCCAGTCCCACCAGTCGTAGACGCGTGTGTCCGCTTGGAGACGCGCCGCCGTCCAGATGTACAGGAGCACCCCGCGCGCGCGACGTCGAGCCCGTGCACCACGTGGATACTGCCCTGCGCGCGGAAAAGAAGGGGAACTGGGGCCAGCGAGCATGGCGAAAAAACTTCCGTCGTCCCAGGTCGGGACGCGCGCGGCGTGGTTGGGCTCCGCGCACCCCTGTCGAAGGCGCGAACGTACGGACGTTGACGGGTTCCCTGTGCCATCAAGCTCCAGCGCGTATGTATGCCCAACGCACTGCATAGGGCCACCGCTCGTAAGTTCTTTGGCGCTTCAGTGCGCGACGAAGCGGGCGCCGCAGTCGGCGTGGACGAGCGCGTGCTCATCGCAGTGCGCGCGCGAGGACGATCGTGCGCGAGTGGACGCGTCGTGCGTGCACGCGCGATGCCAGCTGCAGAGGTCGCGCAGGGGTCGCGCACGACGGGCGCTCCGACAGCCTTCAACGCGTGCCCTGACGGCTCGTCTCTAAGCGTCGGCTCATGTCGGCTCTGGTCGGCTCACGACTTGTGCGATGTCTCAGGTGGGCGCGCCCGCACAAGAAGCTGGGTTTGAATTTGCTTGTGTGCCGAGCCTACCCGAGCAGACCCGAGCACATCAAACCCGGCTTGAGCCCTACGGAAGTCGGTCCACTGATGCTGCACTCCTTCGGCATTGCCTTCGGAGATACAGGCCCACGATGTATACAGCCGTTTGCATACGAACGCGGAATCGTGATTTCGCAATTTTCGGGAGACGCCCAGGCACCATGCGCAGATGTGACTCGCGCGTCACGCCTCGCGCATGCGCGTCGAGTCCTCCGCGCGATGCAACTATAGTACTCGCGCGTGTGCATTTTGAACCTCCAACTTGACGGCCTCCGCTGCAGCGCAAACTCCACAAGCTTCTCCGCAGCTTCGCCCATAGACACTTCTGGCCCACCGCGCTCTGCCGCCTCCGGTCTGGCTTCACTACCCCTTACCCGCTCGCGATCGACCTGCCCTCCGGCGCCAGGCGTGTCGCGTGCTCACTGTGTCGCGCAAAAAGGCGTGAGTCGAGTGCGCATCAATGTCTGCACATTCGAACGGTGGCTCGAACGGCGGCCTGCTCCCGTTCCTCCCGCACCTGGGACTCGCGGCTGCGAAGTTCGGGGAGGAGCATCGGCGCTGGTATGCCCAACAGGAGAATGACGACGCCAACGGGCCCGCGGCGAAGCCCGCCTCGCATCCAACTAGAAGGGGCTCTCGTGCAAGTTCCGGAAGGCGGCGATGTGCGTGCGCGCGGTTATTTATGAACCAGAATTCGAAGGTGTTCGAGTGCATGCTTGTGCACGAGAACGGGAACAGAGACCAGGAGTGGGACCAGAGCTTGGACGTTGCGCTGGGGAAGCAGCTTGGTGGTTGGACTGTATGTGTATCATTGCACCATAAAACGACGATGACGAGGCCCTGGCTATAATGCATATGCGCCTCTGACACCTGCCCACTGGCCGCACGACTGCAACTTCTTCTCGAGACTCGGTGACCTCGCGTACGACCACCGTTCGGGAACGGCTTTGGCCTCTTCCGACCCACTTCACCGACGCTCAGCACGCTGCGCCTTCACCGCTGCCGTGAATGCCCTGAAGTTGATCCACGGCCCTCCCACCGTGTACGCCCACCGGAAGGTCTGCGGCGAAGGCAGCACCGGGGGCGTCTGCGCGCTCCCGGCCAGGCTCTCGCGCGCAGTTGCGTGAGTGTGGGGATAGTAGAACGCACACCACCCTGGGTGCCTATATACACAAAGCCCTCAGAGGTGTGCCCATCGGGGGCGGGGTCCAGGTCCACAACGGTGGGCGGGGTATGGCTTCGGGAGTCCTGCATGGTCGGGGAGGATATTTGCGTTGGCGGTGGGCTGGTGCCAGATGTTCTTGCGACGCGGCCGTCCGCGCGCGATACTTACCCACCTTGCGCAGGGCATCACGGAGCTGCCGAAAGTCCCCTGCGTCAATGAGGATGGGGGCATTGCCGCTGATGGTGAATGCGTAGAGGCGTGCCAGGTTTGCGCGAGCGGTTTGAAGCCTCTGAGAGCGTGAGTAGAGTTTAGACGGTCGTCGCGCACACGCGCGCGAGCCGCATCGCAGAGGACAGTACTCGACGTGCACGCGCGTGGGATCATCATCCTGGGACGTGACGCACGAGTCACATCTGCGTATGGTGCCTGGGCGTCTCCCGAAAATTGCGAAATCACGATTCCGCGTTCGTATGCAAACGGCTGTAAGCCATGCATGTACAAAAGTTTCACGAGGATCGCTGAAGTTGCGGATGAACGCGCGTCGACACCGGTTTGGGGGCTGGCAGCAATGCACGTTGGACGCGCGAATTCGGGTACAGGATGACAGGATTAGCAAGGCGAGCACACACTGGCCGATAATAATGTTACAGACAGCTCGATCCAGAAACCACACCGCCCTCCTCAGTGACCATCCACCGTCCTCTTCCGTCACGCACCCGGTTGTCCAGGCTTCCCGCCTCCTGCCCCAGGCTGCATCTGCCCCGGGTGCCCAGGCATGCCCGGCATCTGCATCTGCTGCTGTCCCGGCATCGGCCGCCCCGCCGCGGCCGCCATCTGCCAGTACTGGTTCATCGTCCGCATCTGCGCATAGGCCGGGTACTGTGCCATGAACTGCGCCTGCTGTTGCGGCGTCTGCTGCTGCTGTGCGAGCTGCTGCTGCTGCTGCTGCTGGACGAGGTGCTGCTGCATGTGCGGCTGCTGCTGCTGCTGCTGCTGCTGTTGCATCTGCGGGTGCTGCCCGTGCGCCGCCTGAGCCTGAGCCTGAGCCTGCGCCTGGGCTTGGGCTTGGACCATCCGCATCTGGTAGTACATCATCTGCTGCTGCTGTTGCGGGGTGTGCTGGACGTGCTGGCCCGGGTTCTGCTGGCCCTGCTGCTGCTGCTGCTGCTGTTGTTGTTGGTGGACTGCCTGCTGCATTTGGATCTGCACCCGCGCGGCCTGCAGCTGTGCTTCCTGCGTCATCGCCGTGGGGGGCATTGGCGACCCGCGCGGGACCTGCGCGGGCGCGAGGTGCGGCGTCCCGTTCCTCTGCGCTTGAGCCTGAGCCTGAGCCTGAGCCTGAGCCTGGGCGTGCACGACCTGCGCGGCGGGCATCGGGCTCCGCGTCGCCGCCGCGGGCGAGCCCGCCTGCTGCGCGGCGGCAGCAGCTTGCGCGGCCTGCTGTTGCTGCTGCTGCTGCTGTTGTTGTTGCGTGAGCTGCCGGCTCGCGGCGGCGTGCATCGCAAAGTAGGGGATCTGCTGGTACGGGTTGTACGGTGCTTGCTGCTGCTGCTGGGTTGTTGCGGCTGGGGCTGTTGCGGCTGCTGCTGGCCGGGCTGCTGCTGCGACTGGGGCGCGACGGGCTGCGGCGCGAGCGCGGGCTGCTGCTGCATCGGGGCCGGGGCGGCGGCGAGGGGCTTGCGCCGGGCGAGGCTCTGCGTCGCGAACGCCGCCATCTGGTTCGCGTACTGGGTCATCATCGGGTGCCCGGGCTGGCCCGGCTGGGGCTGGGGCTGCTGTTGCTGTTGCGGCTGCTGTGGGGCTTGGTGGGCGTTCGGCGCCGGCGAGGGTTGGATGCGCGGCGCGGGCGCGGGCGCGAGCTGCGGGAGGTGGTGGGGGGCGCCGGGGACGACGGACGCGGGGCGCGGTTGGTGCGGGTGCGGGTGCGGGTGCGGGTGCTGTTGCTGTTGCGGGTGTGGGTGCGGGTGCGGCGGGTGCTGCGGGTGCTCGGCGGCGGAGGGCGGGCTGCTGGCGTGCGCGACGGGCCCGCGCGGCGAGGGCGCGGAGGGCGCGGGCTGGATGGGCGTCGCGGCGCGCGGGGCGTAGTGCGGGTGCTGCATGTGCGGCGGGAGCGCGAGCGCGGGGTTGTGCGCGCCCCCGCCAGCGGAGGAGGGCGTGGCCGTGCGGGCGATCGCGGGGGGCGGGGCGTCGGCCTTCTTCTTCGGCTGCGGGACGGGCTTCTTGCCCGCCGTGGTCGGAGCGGGGGGCGCGGAGGGGACCGGGACGGCTGTGGGCGGTTGTGGGACGGCGTGGGGCGGTATGGGGGTGGAGGATGACGAGGGCTGTTGGACGGGTGTGAGTGTGGGGGCGGGGGTCGGCGTGGGGACGGAGTTCGTGATGGAAGACGGGGCGATGCTGTTGATCGGGGTGCCAGAAGGATGAGGGGAAGAGGAAGTCTGCATGGGCACCGTGATTGGCATGTGTGAGAGGTAGGTGGGGGGTGGTATTGACTTCACGTTCTGCTTTGCCTCCAGCATAGGGAATTTCCTATGAATAGACTGTAAGTTGGTTACCAGGATCCCGGAAACCTTTAGCTCACCCCGGTTGGATGTTGCGCTGGGGGCTCATGAACTGCATCAGCTTCAGACGACGTGTCTTCTCGATCTCATCGGCTTCCTGATCGACAGCGGAGGCTTTGCGCTTCAGAGACTTGGGTGCGGGCGGAGTCGACACCCGCTGCGTCAGATTCACTATCCGAGCCAGATGCGGGTCTGGCTCCAGACATAAAGGGGGGACGGTGGCCAGCTGCGTCGCAAGGGGTGAAGTGCTCAGTATTGGTGAGACGCGTAAGTCGCCTGAACGGCGTCAATGCCACTCACAAGCAGCCGCGCTTCTACTTCTAGAGCGTTGTTATCCGTCCATGGCGTGACAGTCTTTTGACTGAGCAGACAGATATCAGCCCAGCGAGATTCGTCGTTGGGCGCTAGGACCACCCGGCTTCGCTCGGGCTGCTCCAGTTCAGGCTCGGTACTTTTCGCCGGCCGATAGTCGAGAATTTCGACAATAAGACATCCTAGTACACTGTTCAGCACGACGCCACTCCGCAACAAGAGACGCACGCACCCTCGTAAAAGGGGAGGTTCGCTGAATCGAACAGCTCGAGGAAGTCGACGGGTATATGCTGTGCACGGATGTCGTCCAGCAGAGACTGTACAAAAACATTTGCTCAGAACGGGTGGCGCGACTGGAAGATCGAAATACCCACCGCGGTCTGGCTATTGTAGAGGAACTTGGAGCCGTTGTTCAATATCCAGTGCTCACGGTAGAGCCGTACGGTGAACGACGGCGGCGCGGCGCGGTTGGCCTTA